GGCCCTACCCTGAGCGTGACTAGGGGTGGCATCACAACCTCTCGATCCGCCCTGCTCTGTGCATGACAGGGGGCGGTGCCCCAACTCCCCAATCGGCCCTGCTCTGAGCCCGACCAGGGGCTGCACCTAGGGATTGGGCCTGCCCTCTGCCACCCGGGAGCAGGCCTAAGCCAGCAGGGCGTTATCTCCCGAGGGGTCCCAGACTGCGAGACGGCACAGGCCGGGCTGAGGGACCCCCCCTTCCCCCCGAGTGCATAAATTTTTGTGCACCGGGCCTCTAGTATACACTATAAAGGAAAAATAGCCTGTTTGTAGACAGTTTGTAAAAACTGTACCTTTTTCAAAGTTAAGCCAGACTGGGCCACAAAATGTCCTTTCTGACGAAAACATTAAAAGCCTTTCAAGCTGGAGGGCAAACACTAAGCTTCTGCCAGGCAAATAGAATAATTTTTACTTCGTGGATAGACAAAGTGAATAGATTACATATATGAAATTATCAAAATCATAAGAACCCAAACCTAACTTACAGAAACAAAAATCCGCTGCTTTTTCATTTTTCATCCAATTTCCTGATCTGATCTAACTCAGACCTTAAAGAGCCCAGAGAACATTTTTGTGCAAAGACTTCACCTAGGCAGCAGCCCTCGCAGCCCACACCGCACCTGCCCGCGCCCCGCTCCGCCTACCAGGCTCTGGGTCCCAGGACCCCGTACCTAACACCGCCCAGCCCGGCCCTGCGGAACAAAGTGCCGCGGATCCCTTCCAGGGCACGGAAGGACCCGAGAGACGCACTCGACCTTGGTGCCGCCCCAGGGCGGCTGCACAAAGAGCCGCACTTCCGGCCAGACAGCCCACCCCCACTCACCGCGCTTTGGTGGCGTCCTGGGTCTGGAGGACCGGCTTGGCGAAGGGGCTCCGCAAGGGGCAAACACCGGGGGGCTTGCTTCTTTGCGTGGGTTGAACTTTGAAGCTCCGTCTCCGCCGACCCCGCTGCCTCCGCCTGGCCTGCCTCTCCACAGCCCGCGCTCCCTGCCCAAGCTGCGCAGCCGGGCCTCGGACTTCACTTCCGCCTGGAGCGCGCCGCCGCGGGGGGGCGCGCCTGCGCGGACATCCACTGCACCTTCCAGGCTCTGGAAGTGAGGTGCAGGCTCCCGTCTGTGCCCGAGGGTCCCTCTGTGCCTGATGGAGAGAGATGGAAAGAAACCAAGTGGTGTGGCGACCCTCCAAAGTACAGATAGCGGTTCTCAACCTGTGGGTCGCGACCATCGGAAAACACATATAGCATATGAGATATTTACATTACGATTCATAACAGTAGCAAAATTACAGTTATGAAGTAGCAATGAAAATAATTTTATGGTTGGGGGTCACCACAACATGAGGAACTATATTAAAAGGTCGTGGCATTAGGAAGGTTGAGAACCACTGAAGGTGGATAGCCAGAGAGGCCCATGGCGCCAGCGGGTCGTCCCTGTTGATCTTTTCGAATAAACGCTTATATGGAATGTTTTTCCTCAACCTATTTTTGCTGTTCCTACTCATGTATTATGGAAGGAACATATTGGAACATAATTGTAGCGTTTTCTTAATATCTTATTGCTGGAAATGGAGTATCCCTTTTCCCACTTTGTGCTGGGTGTGGGGTCCTTACTATATCTGGAGGAAAATAATTTTCTGAGACTCGCATAGGAGGGTGAGTAACTTTTATTTGCATGGAATTAGATCTCTGGATTTCCAAAGTCCCATTTCCCTTAAATTAGTCCTGGAAGATGTGTAGCTGGGGATTCAGTAGAGCTAGAAGCAAAGTCAGCATCCAAAGTTTTCTTTCCATGTGTAGTTGGGTCTAGTGCAGCATCAGGCTAGTTGCAGGTCTGTTAGTCCATTGTGTGGTTACGCACATAGCCTGTGAGCCATGTGGGCGAATGCAAGGTATCTAAGAGAGTGCCAGAAGCCAAGAGGGCAAGAAATCAAACTTTTTGTTTAAGTGATTAAATATCTCAAATCTTCCCATGCCGGCAGTGGCCGTGCCTATGCTGACCAATGACCTGTTCTCAGGTGACAAACACCTTCCCTATTTCACCCAGACTTTACTGGGCATGTGTCTATTCTCCCCTTGTTCAGTCCCTTTCCCCAGCAATCTGCAGGGAATAGACCTGGGGAGTATTAAACTGCAGCTTCCTGGCAAAGCTGCACACAGGATATAGCTATAATATTTGGCCTTCCCTTTGCTCCATTCTTGTTATTAATAGCTAGGTTAATTACAATGTGTTGAAATAGGAGTTTTTAGGGGTGAAATAGGCAAGTTTAGGGAATTTTTAAAAATTAAAGGGGTCCATGGAGAAAGCACAGGCTACCCAGCTGCAAAAAGTTACATTTCCATAAGACAAGGGAGTTGGGGGAAGCAGAAGTTTCATTTCCATAAGACAAGGTAGCTGGAAGTAGCAAAAGATACACATTTACAAAATAAAGGGAAGGAAGCCCCTCATTCAAAGAAGGAAAATTAGGAAAACAATAAGGGAGGAGGACCTCACATGTCCCATGTGAGGTTTGACCTTTTGAGCTCAGGAGTTGCTATAGTGACCAAATCAAGGCACAAAAAACTGCAGTCGTTATAAACTGTGGAAGAAGGGACTAGGTGGGACTCTTTCCCCTTCCCCACATGGGAGTCTGTACTTGTTCTTCAATTATTTCCACCCTTGCTATACCATCTTCTCTCTGTGGTTTCTGTTAGGTCTGATCAAATAATTGACTCATATACCACCCCGGTAACTGGCTTTGCAGGCCATTTCACTATGGACATTCCCTTTGCTGAGACCACATTTCACTTGCAGGGACCACATTCCATTATCTCCCCTCTGGGTATGCACAAAGAGTTCTCTGCCCAGAAAAAGCCCTTCAAAAGTCCTTTACTGGAGCCATCCAGACTCAGCCACCTGGTGTGCGGATGATTGAATAAATTCATAATCCCTCACCATTCTGCCCTCGTGCGTTCCTCCTTCAGCGACCTAACAGTCTTTGACTCTGACGGACAAAGAGCCCAGGGAACACCACGTGTTCCAGTCCAAAATTCCCGTATCATAATCATTATGAGAAAATGTATTTGATTTTGTATTTAAAAACAGCCACTGCCTACAAGAACCTTCATGTAAACATGCAAAGGGGCTATGCTGATGGGTGACCAATAGACAGCTGAGCACCAGGCTTACCTACTGAAGCCAGGGCTGATCTAGCGGTGGTGAGGATAGGGGTAAATGCTACCTCACCAAGAGCACGCTTCAGTTATGATGGAGAGGTACCACACAATGGAAACCAGCATGGACACAGCACACACTGCCAGACACTTTTCAATGCTATGAATTCATTAAGTCATTTAATGCACATAATAAATTATTTTACAAATGAAGAAATTGAGACAAAGAAGTTGACAAACTTCCTCAAGAACACACAAGTACTAGGAAGCTGACCCAGGATTTAAACCCGTTTCTGACTTCAGAGTGTTTGCTCTTAAAGGGATTTTAGCTTTCCTAGGTTGATCCCAAGAAGGAATATACCTGTCAAAAACAATTTCTGATAAGTGGACCCAAATTTATAACCAGAGTTTAGCAGCCTTTATTACAGAGGCATGTCAGGAAAAATCTGAAACTAAGCTGCCACGCCTCCTCCACTACATTCCTGCCTTCTGAGCCCAATCTTATAAAGGAGTTCCTGGAATCCTATTTTGGCCAATGGTCTGAGACCTGCCCTATCCAATTAGAGATACAAAGGTATATCTTTATTTGCATCTCCATCCTGATGTAGTGGCTCCATAAGGACCAATCACAACAGTGCGATTTGAACCAATAAAACTAGAAGTTTGGATTGCATAAAAATGGACCAATCAAGTATGGGACTCAAGGACACAATGAATTATTAACATGGGGGAGAAGATATGCATGTGTTTCTACCCCCACAGGGCCACTGTAGATTCCAGCTCATTAGATTAAACCCTAACATGGCATGGCACAGTGACTACCAGAACTCCTCTGGCCACTGTATCTATAAAATCAGAACTAGAGCAGTGAACACACTCACAGACCCCGACATTCCAAAGCAGAAAGTCCACTGCCTCCCTCTGTCTTCTATAGCCAGTAAAACAAAAAAGGGGGAGATGTGGGGAAGCATGGGACTTGGTTGGAAAGTCTGTAAGGAGGAGCCTCCAAAAGGTCGGGGGCCAGCGATCTTGCCAACGGCAGCAGCCCCTGCCTTGAATTTTCCAAACAAGTCTGAGCCCCCCGGGGGTTTTACTGAAATCTTAATGTTTAGTCTTTAGACATCCTTGCTTGAAGGACACTGCAGATACATGTGTTTTCTCAAGGATACTTACCCTGCTGATAGTACCTAGAAGTTAATTTTAGTTCAAACTATTGCTACAATAAAAGCCTAAGGAGGCAGGTGAATGGGGCTATTTGGTTCCTGTAGCCAAGCAGTCTCTTAGTCCTCTCTCTTTCACAGAAATGTGTGCCAGAATAATCATTCATCCATTGCCCAGGGTCTGCTGGTCAGCCCCGGCAATCAAGGACTAGAACAAGTACTTTCTCTGTTAGCCAGCCTCCTGTCTGTGGGAGTATGCCTTCCATTTCTGGTGGAGTCTGCATTTTCTTGTTCACCTGAATTAAGTCTCTCCTTTTACTGCACCTGAAATTGGGGACTCCTGTTGACATTGGATTGGTAGCAGTGACCTTTTGTTGACATTCAGAACTGTTCTCACTGTCTGTAGCACTAATAGGACCCACAAGTTCCCTGCCTTAGCTCAGAACCAGGGGTCTTCCTCAAAGGGTAGAGTCTGGGATGGGCCATCTGGCTAGGGCCCAGAGAGAGCAGGACAACTCTGTGGGACTGTACTCATCAGAAAGAGCCCAGGCAGTTTAGCTTGCCCTGAAGGAGCAGAAAACAACCTGATCTCAAGGAACACTCCCTATAGTCCCTAAAGACTTTCCTAGACATCTGTAAGATTTCAGTACAAATTAAATTAGTTGAAAAATATGTTATTTCTGGCACACTAAATGTACACAGTTTTAAATAAAACTGGATATCATTCTTTCAAATATCTATTGGAATCTAGAGACCATGGTGATTTGATTGCTGCTATTGGTCACTTTAAAAATACATAATTTCATAACAGTATGAAATTTTATTGTTCTTTTTTCGCTTTGAATTCCTGTTTCAATTCCACTTCTACAGAATTTTACCCTAATATATTAATATATTGGACATCTTTATTTTTTAGTTGCTTGTATCTGTCAAGATACCCAGGAAATGCTGCAGTAACAACAAGTTCAAAATTTCAGTATCTTCACACAACAAAATATTATTTCTCATTTAAGCATTAGGTCCAAAGCTGGTGGAGTCATTTAAAGAAGTACACAAAAAATAAAAGAATTTGTCAACAAACAGTAATCAAAATGAAAAAAAAACCTAGTATTTAAATAACAATTAGAAGATATAATGGAAAAAAAGATTTATTTTGTACAAGGTTACATAGGGAAAATAAATAAATAAATATAACAATATAATGCCTAGCAATAAACTTTTATAAGAGTCATTTAAATCTGTATGAATAAAAGTTTAACAACCAAATGGCACAAAAGAACATGGAGAAAAACATCATATTCTAGGATAAGCAGATTTAATATCAGAGTAATGTCAATTCTCCCTAAATTAATTCATGAATTTAATACAATTCCTATAAAACAACAGTAATTATTTTTAATTGAAGTGTTTTTCATTAACATATGGGAAAAAGAATCAACCAAAAAATCAAAAGCAAGAATATGCCAGGAAAACTTTGAAAATAAAGAGTAATAGGGAGGGATGACAAAAGATGGAGGCATAGGTAAACGCCTGTACTCACCACCTCCCACAACCACATTAAAATTACAACTAAAATACAGAACAACCATCATCCAGAACTACTGGAAAGCTGGCTGAATGGAAGTCCTACAACTAGAGAAAGAAGAAAGCACACAGAGACTGGTAGGAGATGTGGAGGCGCAGAATGGGCTGGTCAGCACCCATGTGTACCGCTTTTTTAATCAGGAGGTAGATGGTCTTTGTGGAGGCTGCCCAGAGGAGCAAGGGGTCCCAGCCCCACACCAGACCCCCAGCCCAGGGTATCAGAACTGGGAAAAGAAGTCCCCATAATTACAGGCTGTAAAAACCAGAGCAGATTGGAGCACAGTGACACAGAGGCTGCTGGAGATCCAGCTATTCCTCTTAAAAGGCCA